TAGGGTTGTTTCCTGGGTTTGGGCAATGCTGCCCGGTATTTCTGGTTGGGGGGTGCTGCCAGGTTGGGGGTGCCACAGAGACCTGCGCTTGTGATTAACGCAGAGCAGTTTTCCGAGCGGCGCGGGGGCCTCTGCCGCCTGGCTGTCTCCCTGCCGGCTTCATCCCCACTGCCCTGGCGAGAGCGGGAGGGCTTGGTCAGCAGCTGCCGGACAAAGCTGGGTTTGCTGGCCCAGCTTCTCGGCCTCCTCGCCTGCCTGCAGTCGGCTCAATTTAAGGTCTGGCTTTCCCCGTGTTGTTTATTCTGTCCTTCTGCTGGAAGCTGCTTGCCCATTGTCCCGAGAAGGGAGTTTAACCCGTGGCCAGGCTCAGAGCTGGGTGTCTTTCCCGGAGCTGCTGGGGCAAGTTTTGTGAATCGCACATGGGAGCAGTGAAGGGGCAGATGTGTGTCCCCCTGCTCTGCCCTTTCTCTGACCTGTTGAAGGCAGCATCTGCTCCCACAAAAAAAACCCAAACCTGTCACTGCAGCAGTGCCAGCAGTGTATCTCGTACGGTGCCGGTGTGACCACGCTGCGCTCTCTGCCTGGGCATTCAGGCTGTTTCAGCAGCACAGGTACCAGGCCGGCCACCCTTGGGAAGAGCTAGGGGCACTCCCTGCCATCCTCGGGTGTTTTTAATTTGTTCTGACAGAGGTGAAATCATGTCTCTTGCGTTTGGAGTACTTTTAGGATAGTACACATTGTGCTATCTGCTCTGCTTTGGTAGTAAATGATGTGTTTCTGTTTATAGTTTAATTGTTTTATTCCTTGTTTTGAGTCTTTGATGCAGATCGTTCAGGGCCATTGATCTAGGCTGGTTTTGCTTTGTTCCTGAGGTTTTGCTCGGCAGTGCTGCAGGAGGGATGCCGGGCAGTGCTGCTCCACTGCTGGATGCTGGGCTGGCCCTGAGCAAAGGGGCTTTAGGAAATCCTTTCCCGAGTTCTAGCTGAAGCTCGAGTGATCTTCTGCCAGTGGAGTTTCCATGGCACTTGCGTCACTTGGCAAGTTCACTAACTTTTCGTGGGTTCACCTTAGTTTCTGCTCTGTATGAGACTGCTGGCAAGCATTTAATTCCCACAGCCTTTGCTCCTGGTGCATCTTCCTGTTGCTCTGTGTGTCACAAAGCGGTTTGTCAGACGGCTGTGTAGTGAGCGAGGGAGACTTCCAGTGATGGTCGGCTATCGGGGCAATCAGAAACAGGAGAGGGGTGTAACCTAACATTTTGAAGCTGGATGGAACTAGCAGCTTGAATTTATTCTTTTTGTCCTGGCACATGTCAGATCAGCTGTAATAGCATCCTTTGCATTCTAGTGGTAGCAGGAAGGGTCATGAATCTTTAGTCTCGTGGTAGGTTTTCACCTGTGAACACGTCTGTGTACTTCTACCTGCATCTGCTTTTGTCCCTACAAAACCGACAGCAGGGTCTTTTGTTTTGTAGTCAATGATATTCTTTTGTAGTCCAGTTCATCTGCATTTGTCTCATTGCTTCTCCCTCTCTCTGTTTGGGATAGCAGAATAATCTAATTACCTGTTAAACAGAAGATTAACCAGATGCATGTTCCTGTCTTAAAGAATACAGTGTGAGAGAGAAAGGCAGAAGTGTCTCATCAGGACGTGAGTGGAAGTGCGACGCTGTTGCCAGTTTCGGCGGTGTTTGGCAGTGGTGGTAGCTGCGGTCCTGTGCTGGCTCAGTGCTTCTGGCTCAAACTCGGTGCAAAGGTTGCCTGTGTTTCTGGTGTGGTTCTGCCTGTGCCTTTGGTTGGAGTGGGGTCTGTGTGGTTGTCTGGAGTGTGCCTTAATGCCTTGTCTGCTTTGGGAAGATTTTGAGCTGTTGGACAGGTGGGACTGAGAGCAGGGTTGGCAGTTAGTTGGCTTTGGGCTCTCGTATGATGTCGTTAGTGCAAGGACTCTGGCTATTTTTTGACTTATCCCTGTTGTTCAATCCAGGTACATCAACCACCAGGAAAGGGAGAAGTCTAAAGGCAGCATCCTCCCCAGCAAGTTTTGTTCCAGGCGTCTATCTGTCTTATGTCCGCTCTGGAAGTGGTGCCTGTGAAGAATGACGTCGAGAGGTGCTGGGACTGCTTTCTCGAGGAAGAACTACAGGCTGAGCACCGAGCCAGAGAAGTCCAAGGTCACAGGTATGGGCCTGTATGGGCCATGTAAAAGCAGGACCACTGTGGAGCAGGTGAGCGCCCCTTGCCTCGCTTGAGATCAGCTGCCTTCCAGTTGCAGTTGCCTTCCTGATGTGAGGTGTGGTGGGGCTGAAACTGAGTAAATCCCTGAACTGAGATGAGATTTTGGGAGGGACATTCCTGTACTACTAAGGACTCCGGAAGCTCATGTCACAGTGCCCTTTCTTCGGCATACAGCCCTGCCTCGTGAGGCTGGAGAATGTCGTATTGCCTGCCTTTGTCCCATCTGATTCAGGGAGTTCCCCTTCCAGAATGAACAGCTTGTCAAGTTCTCCGATTAAGCCTTTTCTGGGAAATTTTGGTACCTGCTAGGCAGTCTGTTTTCTCTTGGACTCACCAATCCAGCAGAAGTGTGCTTATGAGACCACAAATCTGGCATTTGAGGGCACTGTTGCACCCAGAAATAAAGCATGCTGCATCAATGTGACACTAGGGATTGTTTTCCACAATGAAAGCTAAAGTGAGGCTTACGTCATTAAAAGAGGGCTGTGGGTTAGACAAGATGAACTGCATCTGCAAGCCTTTCTATCTCAGCATCTTCTAGTGCAGTTAAGAGATGTAGGTACTTAAAATGTCCCAGGTGTGAATAGGACATCAGGAATTGCAATAGTGATAAGATTTTTATTTTTATTTTTTGGAAATGAAATTGGATTCGCACCTCCAGCTTTTGAAGTTACTTTTTTATCTGGAAGTAGTACAGCAGGATTCCTGAGGATGTAGTTCCACCTGTGGGGACCAAAGTGTAGCCTCCCTTTTGCTATCGTAGAGCAGCTCAAATTGGAAGGAGCCCTTGTTGTGGAGATGCACCCCATAATGCTGGACTCCAGGGCTGCTAGTGAAGACAGTAAGACGAAGAATGACTTCTTGAAGCTGCATTTTCCACTGTGTTGATCTGCAAACTTGAACATCATTTTCCCATAGTTACCAGTTTCTTGCTTGTACATGAAATTAATGTTTGAGCTTCCTGACTCCCTAAGCTTATTTCCTTTCTGTTTTTCACAAGGGATCGTGAACAGCAGACTGCTGAATGATTATCTGCATCGTGTCTTTACCAGTGCTGATGGGAACCAGTCTGCAGCTGCTTACAGGTATCGGACGACTTCTCATTCACTAGTTGGCCAGCGATGCTGTATCAATCCCCAGATATACAACGCTGTGGTGAAAGGAAAGATTTTTCAGTGCCACACAGTGATCTTTGTTAAAAGCGCAGCAGCACCGTGTTACAGAAATTACTCCTAGGTCTTGTCCTTTAATGGCTTTTTCAAATTGCAGGGCTTGCCGGGAAGGATTCTTCAGAATTTTTTGCATGAAAAACCCCATACACAAAATCACTAGGCAATATTTCTGAAATAAACAGGCAAGTAGGCATTCAACTTATTGTTCCTGTTCCCTCTTTATGTGTAAGGAAGTGAAAAATGCACAGGTTTTAGGTACAGTAATGAAAAATAGGTCATCAGTGCCCTGTAAACTAAAAGCAAGGCTATTATTGATACATGGAATACCATACATTTCTCAGGCTGTGGAACTGTTGGTACTTTATTATTAGGAGTCACCAAAGAAAAAGAAACACAAAATTCCTCTTTAGTGTCTGTTTTCTTCTATTTGTTTTCAGTTCTCCTTCACCTTGTAGCCCAGAAACTTGTAGCTTTGGATGAGAAAAACTTCCCTTGCATTTAGCTCTTTTGCCAGAGGCAAGTCAGACAGGTTCAGGGCAGGTAGAGTGTGGTAGAGCGAGGCAGGCGTGTAGCTCCTGCTGGTTGGCAGTGCTGCAGAGTGGCTGGGGTCACATTCCATGGCCTATACTTAGTACTGCCAGCTCAAATGTGAGCTCAGAGCTGCTAAAAATAGCCCTTGGCCCTCTCCGCTCTTGGTGAGCTAGGGTTATGGCGGGGGGGAGGCAGAGTGGGTCATGTTACTTTGCCACGATCTCCCCTGCCAGCATGCCTTGGAATATTCCATCTGCCCGGGCATTTTGGTTTTCAGCATTTCTAATTTCTTTGCCTGGTGATTAATGACTTGAAAGCACAGAACTGACAGTTAGTTAGACTGGTCTCTCTCTTTCTTTTTTTCCTGCTTTCTACCCTTTTCCCTGGACTTGGCTATTTGGTAGAAAGCCCAGTAGCAGTCAAAGAGGTCTGGAAAATAACATTTGCCATATGAGAGCAACTTTTTATGGTATGACATCTTGTCTTTGGAGGCCTAAATTCCTCATAGAGGAGCTTGCTGCAGACATCTCTCTGGCTATCTCATGCTCTTCTGACCTCCTTTCAGAACTCCTCCTCCATGCTAGCTGCTGATTAAGCTGCTTTCCTGAAGCCACCCTCTCTCATGCCAACCAAAACTGATTCTCTGATTCCACTTCCGTGCATCTTCACATCCATCAGGCTTTCAAAAGGTCTCTCACCACAGTCTTAGGGAAACCCCTAGTCCTGGAGAAGTGGGAGGTTGTTCCACAGATTACTTTGGAAATGGGAAGCAGGGATAGGAGCAACTAGCAACTCTCATGGTAAAAGGAGGTCCTGCTGGGGTCCCTCAAAGACCTGAAACATGATCTGTGTTGTTCCATGTATCCTTGGGAGACTTGGAAAGGGAGAGAGCATGAGGTGGGAAAGTTTGCTGCTGTTACAAAGCTATTTAGAGCAAAGTAAATGTAGGGTGGTTGTGAGATGGTGACTGGATAGTGAAATGGTCTATGAAACTCAGAGTAGGGAAATGCAAAGTGATGTATTGAAAGAGGAACAGCCTCAACGTTGTGCACAAAATGATGGGCCCTGAGCTGATTTTTACTGCGTAGGACTGAGTTTGGGGTGGGAATACTAAGTCTTTAGTAAGTCAGGAAAAGAAAGTAGGAAGTTAGGAATTGTTAGGAAAAGGATGTAGGATAAGAAAAATCGTTACGCCACTGAATAAATTTGTGGTTTACCCTCATCTTGACTAACATGTGGTTCTGGTTTTGCCAACTCCAAAAGGGTATTTTAGAGCTGCAGAGGTTTTGAGGAAGGGTAAAAGCAACTCAGATGTTTGGAATGGCTCTTGTACAAGGAACAGCTAAGTAAACTAGCCTTGAAAAGAGAGAACTGGGGGAGGGCAGTATGAGAAAGTTCTCTAAAATAGTGCCCTAGAGAGGGTGCATGAGAGACTTCTCCTCAGTATGAAAACAAAATGGTTTTGGCTGTTGTCAGAGGGAGGATGCTGGGCTAGCCTGACCTTTGTCAGAACTGCTACAGCTGCTGATGTGGTCTTCTCTCTTCTTTTATATTACGAAATACTTGGGGAAAACACTGAATCCTGACTTATGCCATGTTTGTATGATGCTGACTGCAGCAAAGTCCTGGTCCACAGTTTTTGGTATTACAGCTGGTTTCTTACTGCCAGTGTACCGCAGTACAGTTTTCTTACTGCCACCAAATACTCTGAGCACACTGAAGACTTTAAGATCCTTTGTTAACTACTTTGCTTGTTCACGCCGTATTTGGTCCTTGGTTCATTCATTGCCCCAGCGTGCTGGGCAGCAAATTCCTCAGATTCATGACAAGAAACACGGATCGACAGAACTTCCCGGTTCATGTCTCACAGTGCAGGACTGTGCGGACACATGTGTCTGGGCTGAAACTCTTTAAAACTTGGAGACAGAGTTTTCTGAAGAGCTCCTGTGCATATTTATTCCCTAGAAAGCACCTGACGTTCCAGAACCTGCAGGAGCACCTTGACCACTTGTTAGCAGAGGAGAATGGCTCTGAAGACAGTGGAGGTAGGAGACACTGGTGTCTGTCCAATTTCTGCTTCTGCTTGTGCTGCCTAATTGGGAGGACAAGTTGTATCATGAAAGGCAGTTCCCCGAGTGAGCATTGTTCTGCCGTCCTGTGCTCTAATTTATTGTACCTTTAAATCCTGCCTGTGAGTGGCTCATCAGCCAGCCCTGGAGCAGGTCTGCTTGCAGATGGAGGAGGCATATTTCCATGTGAAAATGCCTGGAGAAGCAGTTCTGGGGCAAATGTTGGAGGTATTTCACTGATAATGATACGCAGAGCCATTGCTGTAACCAGCAGTGTGCAGTGCTATCCTCAGAGGGAAATGCAGAGGCTTGTTGACAATTTTTACGTACTGGTCTCCACTGTAGGTATTCACTTTGGGCCTCAGGCTGTTGCCTGTATTCTTACTAACATCCGTTTCCCTGAATGAGTCAGGATGTGGCAGGATACAACCTGGCTCCTCTCCTAAAAAGAAGAGTTTTTCTCGCTGGCCACAATCAAAGCGTGATATGTTGGCCAAACATTTGGCTCAGTTTAGTTTGGTGTTTGAATTTTGCTAAAGTAAAATTTTCAGGCGATGTGGAAAACTTAACATATGACCTTAACAATGCTGCATGGCTAAGACCTTGTGTGTTCTGTGAAAACTTCCTTTTAAATCTCACTGGTGTCTCCCTTCCTGAGGTTCTCATGGGTTCTAACATAGTCACTGTAGCAGAATGCAAGTGCTGTTGTAGTCTAGCTGGAGACACTCATCAGGTGTACTGTTAAATCCTGCACAACTTTCCCTAACAGGTTTTCTGTGACTCTTGTTTCAGATCAGGTAGCAGAGGGCCGGCTTGGTCCCCCTACTGTGGTGTTGGACCATACGAGCGGTTTTGAGGGGCTCTTGCTGGTTGATGATGATTTACTTGGGGTGAGTGTGATGCTGGGTGCAGCAGAAAATGGTCTTGTGGGACTAAAAGCACTTTGGGCATCTTGGTTTGTACTTCGTAACAGATCCCTGTCACTGGCTTTGTAGCATGTTGTAAAGAGTTTACCCAGAAAGCTGCAGGATCCTGGAGGAAATGAGCTCTCCTGGGAAAAGATCTAGCAGTACCCCTAAGTCTCAGCAAGCTCTGAGTGGAGCTGCGAGGCAGTGAAAGGATTACCCTGGCCCAGGGGCTCACTGAAGACCTTGGCTAAGCAGAGGAAAGGCCAGCAGCCAGCTTTCCTGTCCCTCCCTCCAGCAGACTGCCTCTTCCTTCCTTCCTTCTGGTCTTCTCTAATGGTGACGAGAGGCTGAAGCTGAGGCTTTCCTTTCTCCTTTGTTTCCACTAGCTCCCTGCTTGCTCCTTAGCTGAAAGAATCCAGTGGAATTTAATCCTTTCCTATTTCAGTAATTTCTGCACTCCTTTCACCCCTTCAGTGAGCTCGCACATCCTGTGCTCATTCTCTCCTTAATCTATGTATCCTTTTTTACCTCTAGCAGAGGAGGCTGCCCTGGTCTCCCCTTTCCTGTTAACCACCCACTATAGCTTACCTTGGCTGTACCTAGAACTTACCCTCATATCGGATCAGACTGGCTTGCCTGTGAATTCCTTGTTGCTACCTTCATCTCTTCTTCATGCTCTGTCCTGAGAGTGAGAGAGTCAGGAGGGTTCAGTTTCTGGGCAGTGTGTTACCTGCTGGTCCTGAGCTTTAGTCTGGACACCCTGAACCTATAGTTTTGTTCTAACTTGTCCAGGATTCAGATGTCTTTCCTATATAATAGTCACTTTTGTATACCTGTCACAATTCATTGGGAACCTGTCTGTCACCACGTTGCCCTTGTACTGCTGCCGTGCTGCATGCTTCACTGGGGTTTATCAAGTACAGATGAGCTGAGGAGGACCTGAATGGTTCCCCAGGGCCTGCTGGCTCTGAGTACAGCTGCTGGGATGGGGAAGATGTCCTGTCTCTTCCCTACACTGTGCTTGTGAATAGCTCTCCATCTCGCTTTGATTTTGAGAGCTAGGATGGAGGGAATGGGTAGGGCTGAGCAAAACTGTCTTTCGCCTGACTTTAAAATATCTTTTGTTTGTTGATCCAGGTGATTGGCCACAGTAACTTTGGCTCCATCAGGGCCACAACGTGTGTGTATAAAGGTAAGGAGAAAA